GCTGGAGACATTGAGAGAAGGACGGTGTGACAGGAGTAGTGAGAAAGACAGAGTAGTGCTGGATAAAATTGGAGAAACAGACGGAAACACTCCTCAGATGATTGGAGAATATAAATCAAGGAGATCCTAGTGGCCTGTTCTTTCAACACTTTTATCAATGGTCTAGAATCTATTTTTATCAGTTGTAACAATCTACTGTCATCTTGAGATGACAATAAAAGAAGACAAAGTGTCGAAAGAAATATTAACTCAGCTGACAAAAATTAGGATCCAACAAGTAAAGTGTAGTGGGTAAGAGCTTAGGTTCTGGTCTCAGACCTGTGTCTGAACTCTTCCTCTGACATTCACTCTCTGTGACTTTGGACAAGTTACTAAACCCCTCTAAGTCAGGTATCAAAGACAAGTAAAGGATTAGACCCAGGCAGCTCAGGTAAATCTTCCCTATTACATGATAATCTGTCAGTATGTACATGGTTTATTTGCTTGGCCAGGAAGCCATTCTGGCAGTTTTCTTCTGGGGTCATTTTAGGCATGTCACCCAGCCTCTGACAGAATTGTTTATAGATCAAACGTAGGCCCTTACAATTATTTTGTTCATGTCACCAATAAATTAAACTGTGTCTCACAATATATGTTTGAAGAATGAAAAAATTAGCATAGCCAAATTTTAAGAATGAATTTTGGCCTTCAAATTCTATTAACAGCATTAGGAAAGAAATTGCGAAAAGACAATATTTTAAAGATATAATTTACAAATTTATATCATTCAGTGTTGAAACTACTATAGCAAAGTATTTCTCTATTCTTGTAATGTCATTAAAATTCAATGCTATCTCAATTATATCCGAGGGCACCTAAAAATATTTATAAAATTAGGTGACAAAGCTTTTAATTATTCTAGTTTGATTTTTAAAAATATCTTAGAGTTTGAGAAAAGCACTATAAATTTAAAATAATTCATCCTAAAAAATAGGAAATAAAATATAAAATTAAGTTCATAATTGTATACATTTTAAGACAGATGAGAAAAAAACACTTCAGCAAAATTTACGTTGTTAAAAAAAATACAATCTTGGGTTTCTCGTTAGAGATGCTTAGTAAATATCTAGAGAAATAAATGTCAGGCAGTAATACATTTCTAAATGTAATATTGACTTCTAAATAAAAATTCAATGCCGTTTTCACTTAATAAAATTAAGAAATGAGAAAAACCACAGCAGGTCCTCGAATTATTGTTTTGTTGTAAAGTTGATAAGATGCCATAGGACCATAACTCTTGTTTATATCAATTAGCCTATGGTAAAATCAGTTTCATTGTGTCACTTTGCTTAAGGTTGCAGAACCTATAGGTGACGTTATGTGACCACTTACTGTAACCAATCACAATAACATTTGGGGGATTAAATTCAACAACTGCTTCTTAAATCTTATTTCGCCACCATTTCTCAGCACTTTTGTCAAGTACAATTTTTTTTGTTGTTGTTTAGGTTCTACCTAATTTTCCCAATTTTTTTCTATGTAAATGTAGCTAGAAGTGGTTTTTCTTATTTGATCAAATATTAGTCTTTGCATTAAAAAGGTACCTTTCAAATTATACTATCTATAGTTAGCTTTATTTAAAAACAAGACACTTATGGCCATGCCACCCTGAACAAGCCCAATCCCATCTGATCTTGGAAGCTAAGCAGGGTACGGCCTGGTTAGTACTTGGATGGGAGACCACCTAGGAAGACCAGGTGCTATAGGTGTAAAAAAAAATAAAAAAAATAAGAGATTGTAAGCTGACAAGGTCTGTGAGGTCAACCAAGGGTTGCCTCACTTAAAAAATAAAATAAAAATAAAATAAAAACAGTACACATATTCATGTTAAATAGAAGACACTAACTTGGCTTTCTTAGTTGTTGTTTAAATGAGAAACTATGCCATATTTAACGAGAAACCTCGCGTGCAAATTGCTTGCTTTTCCTTACCTAGAATTGTGCTTTTTTCTTCTGCACCTTCTCTCAGATGTACTCTTCAGTTTATTTCAGTGTTATCTGATCTAGGCAAATTTCACAGGGTTTCCTGCCTCCAATCTCCCCCCGTTATATTCCATTCTGCAGTTTCTGTCATAATTTCTAATTCTATCTTGCTTAAGAACCTAGATAAATTCAGACTCTTCAGTCTCTCATATTCAAATGCTACAACCAAGGGGTTCTTCTACCTCAGCCCTGCCCCTCTCCAGTTGCTGCATACCAGTCTATTTCCCCACCTTGCTTCTCTACCATCTTCTGCTAAGTCAAATTCTTAGACATTCTTGTGATGAAACAAATCCAAGACATCAAATCACCCTGCCTCCACTTGGGTCATGTTTGTTTTTCCTTATCAAGCATGCAACCAGTTTTTCTTACTTTTTCCTTGGTCTATTTTCATATATTATTGTTATACATTTTTGGATTTGCCCGTGTCCTCACTAGTTTGTAAATCCATGAGGTGAGGGTTCTCATCTTCTAATGAAATTTTATTTCAAGAAACCATCTAGTGTCTGGGCCTTTGCAATCTCAGTTATTCTAAACATTGACTGACCTGCCTTAATGTCTGAAGTGATCTAAGAAAACAAGGTCCACACTGAATCAGATGAAGAGTAGAATTTGGAGCACATCTGAGTGTACCCTCTAAAAGTGCTTCGAGGTCTATGACTCTTCCCATCTCTGCATGTTACCATCGATCTATATCTGTATTTTAAAAACTTTGATCTTCTTAACTGTTAAAAATGCGTGGAAATAGTGGAAGGGAATAAAATACACATTAATAGCAGTTACCTCTGGAAGATTACAAAGTGGGAGTTGGGAGGCAAGAAGGTTGGGGTTGGTGACAGTAGAGGAGATAATATGGACTTTTTAATTTGGTACTGACTCTTTATAGTTTTCAGTACTTTCTAAATATTCCATAATGAACTTCCATTTCTTATAAAAATTTGTACTAAAAATACACAAGTAAACTTGACATGGAAAGCATGACAACCAAATTTGATGTGGATAGTTTTAAAATGAGAGCAAAGTTAGGCAAGTAGTTTGCTTAAAAAAAAAAAAAAAAGAGAGAGAGAGAATTCTGAATTAACATGCAAAGGTAAATGTTGCCGACTTCCCCCCAAAGAAATACTTAACCCCATGCAAAATTCCTAGCTGTTGCCATCCTGCCTTATAGTTTTAAATACTATCCATATAGTATCTCCCCATATTTTACTCCCCCATTTAACTTTATATTTATACATCCAATTGCCTTTTCAATGTATCTATTGGGATAATTAATAGGAATCTCAAAACTCAGCATTTCCAAGGCAGGATTCAATTTACACCCTCAAATTTGCTCTTCGACCAGTTTTCTTGAATTCTCAGCTAATGACATTATCATCCTTGCTCAGGTCAAAACTGTTGCCATCTTTGATTTCTTCTTCACATCTAGTCCATTGCCAAATCCTGTCAAGCTTTACCACAAAAATATATCTAGAATCTGTTTTCTCCCTACACCTACCACTCCAGTCCAGGCTCCCACCTCCTGTCACTCAGATGACTGCAACAGTCTCCCTTATTTTGCCCAAGTCATTCCCCCTACTTAAAAGCCTCCGAATGGCTTACCAACACTTTCAGAATAAAATCTAAATTCCTTACTGTGGGCTCATAGCCCTAAGTGGTCAGGCCTTTGCAAAATGCTGTTTTCTTTGATCTTGGTGATAATTTTCTCACCATTCTAGGTCACTCTTCCCCTAACAACCATATAAATGTCTTATACCCCAATGTGTATTCCCGTCACCTAAAATGGTGACTGGCACATGGGTCTTCAAAAAAATATATGAATGGCTGAAATGAGTCTAAATGTTCAATCAAGCTTCCTGGGCATGAAAACTTGTTCCAATTAATCCATACTTTGCAATGGCAACCCTTGTACCTGCTCCCCCCAAACCACCACCCACCTTCCACAAAAATCTCACCCTAAACCTCCTTAGGACATACCATTTAGAGAGTCTGTGTTCTGTATCAGCTGTTGAATATGAAAAAAACCCCTGAACCTCACTGATATGTAGTTTTCATGCACATACAACAAGCAGTATTGTCCCCTTTGGAAACTTTTCTCACCTTTAGGTCAGCCCCCTGTATTTTTACAGAATTTCATTTAGGTAAAACTGTATGGGGTATAGAATAAGTGAACAAACTGGTGTGATGTGCCCTGTGTTAACACATTCTCAGAGATGGATATAGTTTCTGCATCTTTCCCAGACATCCTGATTCACTCATTAGCCTCTTTCCC